TAGAATTTTTGTTGTTTGGTATGCATAATAATTATATCTTATTGATAAACATTTTGACCAAAACCACCAACTCTTAAATTTAATCATGTATTTGTTTTTGTTTACTGGAACCATGATTCTAATAATGACCTTGACCCAAAAATTGGCATTGTTAAATGAGATAAATTGCCTTGTTAAAATTTATCAAATGGCTTTTTCAGTTATCCAAAACAACCATGCATAAAGTGTCAAAGTACGGTTAATTAGTAGAAGAGATTATGTAAATCATAATTAAAGTTTGCCTACCTCATCAGAGATTGTTGCACTCATTATTGGTGATTTTGATTATAATTATCATCCCAAAGACATAATTGTTGATAAATAGTTAGGGGAGTTACAAAGAATCTATGAACTTTACATGTCTTATTTTCCATTACAATATCTTCTTTTGTTTTCACATGGTCGAGGTAGAGATAATACTTTGAATGATACAAATGCATTAGATGAGGATATAAGGATTAAATATGCATTTGTTTGTGAGTTCTCAGCATTTTAGATCATGAATTGTGCAAATGAAGTGTCAACTGTACTTCATTATAAAAAATTACCGCAATTCATTAGCGATAGGTACACTATGGTAAAAGTTGATCAATTGCGATTTATCAAGTCAAACCAACCAAAGTTACTAGTTGACAAATATAAAAGCTTATCAGATGCTCTCCTCAGAGAAGAAGTTAATGTTGCTCTTATTAGGAAAAGGATAATTTTGCCATCCTCATTTGTAAGAGGACCTAGATATCTTATTGAAAATTAATAGGATGCAATAGCAATCTACAAAGCTAGAGGTTACCTTGATTTATTCATAACATTCACACGTAACGTTGCTTGGCTAAAAATTTAAAGATCTTGTCAGCCTAGATCACTAAGCACTGCAAATCATCCAGATATCATTGCTAGAGTCTTCCAAATGAAATTACAAACTTTGTTGAGAATGTTGAAAAGTGAACCAGTGTTTGGGAAAGGCTAGTGAATTATACTTCTTGCGTGTTTTGCTGAACAAGGTTAAAGGCCAAAAATCATCTGAAGCAATTAGGATTGTAAATGATGTTGTCTATCCAACCCTCAGAGCTACCTTTTATGCGATGGGTCTTTTAGGTGATGACTAAGAATACGTAGATGATGCTATCAAGGAAGCAACTATACGGGCATCTAGCCATTATCTACATCGTTTATTTGCACAAATGCTTATGTCTCAATCATTGTTTAGACCAGACTTTGTGTGAAATGAAACTAAAAGCATTCTATTAGAAGATACGTTATACATATCACACAACAATGAACATTTATCTGATTAGTATTCCTTTTCTATCTTCTTTTTTAGTAATTCATTTTTCATGCATACAAATTGATTGCTATACTTTTTTATACAGAGGCTAATTTCCCATCAGCTCAAAAGGAGATTGCAACAATTAAAGAGATTGATAACCTTCTTTGCAAACATGGTAGAAGATTTAGTGACTCATTAATAACTTCTGCTTGATTTCCTTATCGATTCTAATTGTTTAATTATCAATTAAAGAGTTACCATATGCAAGCCATGCTCCTGCCTAAGGGTATCTTAAAGGAGGTGGAGAAGATCGGCCGTAATTTCTTCTGGAACCAGCACGAAGGTCCCAAGAGAAGATTCATTCTATTGCATGGCATGGCATCCAAAAATAAAAAAGCAGGGGGGTTAGGCTTTAAAAACTTGTGTCAAACCAACCTTTTATGCTAAAACTTCTTTGTCAGCCTGAAAATTTGTGGGTTAAATGCCTTAGCTTAAGGCCAAATACAGATGTGACAAGGGTGGTGTGCTTACTGTCATTAAGATAAAAAAAAACTCTTCGCGCACTTGGATAGGCATTGCCCATGTTTGGGAAATCTTCTGCAATGGAATCGAGAGAAGAGTGATCAGGAGAAACTAAATTTTACCCGATCATCCCTTATGTGAATAAGGAGTATCAAGGCGACCCAAAGGCCTCCATCCAGGACTTCGTTACCAGGGAGGGGAGCTGGGAGATGTCTAGGTGGAGGGATGCTTTGCCTGATGAGGTGGTGCATATTCTTGGCAAAATCAAACCCCCAACAGGTGTGGGAAGTGATTTTTTACTTGGAGAGCTTCCCCTTATGGTAGATTCTTTGTTAGATCAGGTTATGATTTTGTGAGGGGATTTGACTGTAAACAGCTTTAACCTTTGTGCGTTAAACTTTGGAAATGGAAATGGCCTATTTTTGAAAAAAAAGTACTTTCCTTTGGCAGGTTTCTTTTGAGAGATTACCCCTCAAACTCTTTCAGAGCCAAGAGCGACAGTGGTGTGTGTCCTTATGAGTCTCAAAGTAAGGAGGAAATTTATACACACTCCGCGTGATTGTCAAATTGCTGAAAATGTCTGGAATTCTATTATTACTCCTAACATGAACCAGAATTTTTTTTTTTTTTTTCAGTGGTAATTCGCACGTTTGTTTACGATGGAACTCATCATATTCCTGGGAAGAACTATTTTCATCAATGGCCTTGGGCAAAAGTGTTTGCTATCACTTGCTGGACTCTACGGACATCACGGTGCGGGAAAGTTTTTGACAATCTCACACCAACTGTTCGGAAGGTTCTACAGCGTCGCATTCTGTTGGTGCTGGAAGATTCATCAAATGGAAAGTTCAGGAACGCGATCTTGCAACTTAATTCCGAGCCTTAAATGTGAATGGACACCACCACCCCCAGAATTCCTACCAGTACGTTGACGCGGATGCCTATGTTAAATTTAAATTGATTGTTAATTGCCTTGATAGCGTGTCACGGCCTCCACGTCTGCTACCTCACCTCTCTCCTTTGAACCTAGATTGGGAATCCTCACCTCTCTCATGTGGCGGAGTGATCAGAGATTCCGAAGGTAGGTGGGTCGCACCGCAAGAAGTATTGTGGAAGCAGAAATTCACGAAATCAAAACTGGACTAGAGGTTAATGGGCAATTGGGATATTCTAAGTTCCAGATCTTCTTAGACTCCGCAGATCAGAAGCCATAAACTCCTTATTGAGAGTTGGTGGCTCTGATTTATCTAAACAAGCTTGGCCATGCTGGGGAACTTCTTTTCTCTGACCGGGAAGTGACCTTAAATCATACTCCCCGAGAACGCGTTAGGTGTGCTGACTTTAGCTTCCTTGCAAAATCAGCCCATGATGGGGACGATCAACTCCGAATCCTCCAAGTCTGGTCAGAAGGATGCAGAGGCCTGCTGCTAGAAGATTTACGACGTTTGTGGTTCAAATGTTTCTGTTTTGTAATTTTCGTCTTGCTTTAGTGTTTTTGACTTGTCAACTCTTCCAAGCTTCAGCTTGCCACTTTTATTCCAAAAAGAAAGCTTGTGAGAAAATGATCTAAACATACTAGCCAACAAACAAATGTTTGTTCCGTATAGAAGCTTCCAGATCACAACAACAACAACAACAACAAGCCTTATATCCTACTAGGTGGGGTCGGCTACATAGATTGCAAGACGCCATTGTGCTCTATCATTATCAAACTTTAAGAATATTATTAATTAAGAGATCGCGTTCAAGCTTTGCCTGATGAGGTGGTGCATATTCTTGGCAAAATCAAACCCCCAACAGGTGTGGGAAGTGATTTTTTACTTGGAGAGCTTCCCCTTATGGTAGATTCTTTGTTAGATCAGGTTATGATTTTGTGAGGGGATTTGACTGTAAAAAGCTTTACCTTTGTGGGTTAAACTTTGGAAATGGAAATGGCCTATTTTTGAAAAAAAAAGTACTTTCCTTTGGCAGGTTTCTTTTGAGAGATTACCCCTCAAACTCTTTCAGAGCCAAGAGCGACAGTGGTGTGTGTCCTTATGAGTCTCGAAGTAAGGAGGAAATTTATACACACTCCGCGTGATTGTCAAATTGCTGAAAATGTCTGGAATTCTATTATTACTCCTAACATGAACCAGAATTTTTTTTTTTTTCAGTGGTAATTCGCACGTTTGGTTACGATGGAACTCATCATATTCCTGGGAAGAACTATTTTCATCAATGGCCTTGGGCAAAAGTGTTTGCTATCACTTGCTGGACTCTACGGACATCACGGTGCGGGAAAGTTTTTGACAATCTCACACCAACTGTTCGGAAGGTTCTACAGCGTCGCATTCTGTTGGTGCTGGAAGATTCATCAAATGGAAAGTTCAGGAACGCGATCTTGCAACTAATTCCGAGCCTTAAATGTGAATGGACACACCACCCCCAGAATTCCTACCAGTACGTTGACGCGGATGCCTATGTTAAATTTAAATTGATTGTTAATTGCCTTGATAGCGTGTCACGGCCTCCACGTCTGCTACCTCACCTCTCTCCTTTGAACCTAGATCGGGAATCTTCACCTCTCTCCATGTGGCGGAGTGATCAGAGATTCCGAAGGTAGGTGGGTCGCACCGCAAGAAGTATTGTGGAAGCAGAAATTCACGAAATCAAAACTGGACTAGAGGTTAATGGGCAATTGGGATATTCTAAGTTCCAGATCTTCTTAGACTCCGCAGATCAGAAGCCATAAACTCCTTATTGAGAGTTGGTGGCTCTGATTTATCTAAACAAGTACTTGGCCATGCTGGGGAACTTCTTTTCTCTGACCGGGAAGTGACCTTAAATCATACTCCCCGAGAACGCGTTAGGTGTGCTGACTTAGCTTCCTTGCAAAATCAGCCCATGATGGGGACGATCAACTCCGAATCCTCCAAGTCTGGTCAGAAGGATGCAGAGGCCTGCTGCTAGAAGATTTACGACGTTTGTGGTTCAAATGTTTCTGTTTTGTAATTTTCGTCTTGCTTTAGTGTTTTTGACTTGTCAACTCTTCCAAGCTTCAGCTTGCCACTTTTATTCCAAAAAGAAAAGCTTGTGAGAAAATGATCTAAACATACTAGCCAACAAACAAATGTTTGTTCCGTATGGAAGTCCAGGTCACATAACCAAATTGCCTTCTAATATGTTGATTGTGCGTAGCCAACTCCAAAACTTACTACCGAAACAGTAACACCAGCGGAACGTCCTAACCAGGTGATATATAATACATAGAGCAAATCTAAACACATAATAAATAGGTTACATTCCCACAACAAAGTAATAATAATAATAATAATAATAAAAGAACAAAGAAAAAGTAATGAGGCTCCAGATTGAGCTAAACAACAGAGCAAAGGAGCTACGGCGGCTAGGTTGCTGAATCATCATCATCATCATCATCAGAAAGGGAGGTGAGCGCTTCCAACAGAGACAGAACTGGAAGCTCCGGCGGCCGCGGCGGCTGCGGCGCTGTTCCTCTCGGCGTGACAGAGTTGACGGAGCTTGGTGGGGACATACCAAATGGACAGACGAGGATGCGCGTTGAATATAGCATCAATGTCCAGCCTTGACGAGCAGCGATTGCCACGAGTGGCTTATAACACGCTTGCCTCCACGCGCCCACGTTCTCGCCTCTCTCTTTATACCTCATCCTCAGCTCATTCGACACCTCCTCGTCTAAACAGTGCAACGCATAGCAGTGCACGTAGTGTCGCATCTTGGGCTTGTTTATGTAGCTCGCTCCTGCCTTCTTCGCGTACCTAAACACCTGGTTTGTCACCTGCAACCTTCCACGTGTCAGCTCATAAACCCCTCACAACTCACTCGCTATCTATCTATATTGCATATGAAGGTGCATCGTTTTAACTCGCGGTTCCTTGTGTTAAAAGGACACGTTGCAGGACCCACCCAAGGCCCTGTCTGCGTCACGTGTTTCTTGGAACATCTCGTAGTTGTGGCAATGTTAACATTGTAGTACCATGACTCAGAGTTGCGAAAAGCTAACGGACAAGGATAAAACAGAAAAAGAGAATGGGTCTTGGATTGAGTTGAGTTGAGGTAGGGTATGTTGTAAGATTTTGCAGAGTTTGATATTTTTACCTTGGTGGGGCATTTCTCGCCGCGTTCCTTAGCCATGTTCTGGACTTGGATTAAGAACTCGCGGCATTGCTCGTAGAGTGGAAGAGATAATCCAGGCCGTTCTTCTTGCCACGTGCCACTTCCCCAGGCTCTGTCACGATGAACGGGTGCTCTCTCTGTCTCTCGCATCCTCCATTGTTGATTCCTTCTTCGTTCATCTCTTCTGCTTCGGCATCGTCTTCTGGATCCTCATTCTCGTCGTCGTGCTGGTGCTGGTGCCGGTGCTGATTCGTCTTCATTATCCTCGACGTCCTCCGTCTTCCCCGCTGCTGCTTCCTCCTCTCCGCAGCCATCACCTCCCACGTGCTGCCTCCCGCCTCTTTCTCTTGTTGCACCACTGGTTCCTCGGACAATCCTATATGTTCTCATCATCACGGTCAGCAGCAACACCAGCAACATGAGAACAGTAATTATTTAGTACATAATCTACAGTATTGTTCATTAAATATTAAATTAAATAGTGCTATTAGTAAGCCGACTTCAACAACAGTAGTTTAATATAACAGTAGAATCAAGTGAGTTCAACTTTCTTACTTTTAGTGCTCATTTCCCTGTCTTAAAGGTAACTAGGAATTAATGAGAATGTCAAAGCCTTCTAACCCTTGCATTCAGTATATAAAGTTGGCTTTCGGAACAACGTTTGGGTAATTTCTGTGTAAAACGTTTAGAAGGCCAACGAAAGTTCACAACAAAGCCAGAGTAGAACTGGTAATGACGAGAATAGAGTGGATGGATATAAGTGGGTTCACCTTCTTGGGAAAGAGCGTCGAGTGCGTTGGTGGTGGTGGTGGTGGTGTCCGCCGAGAGAAGATTACGACGCCTCAAATCCTCTTCGTCCATACGTCGTCGTTCAGCTCTCACGGCGGCTTTGATTCCGTATCGTCCCCGACGAGGAGATCCCAGCGAAAAATCTGAGAGAGGCTGTTCATCATCTCGTCAAGCTCGTCGTCCTTCATGTTGACGAGGGTGCTCACCGTGAACCCCAGCTCAGCTATCTTCGCCGCCGTGTAGTACCGAATCCCATAAGCTTGGAACAGCTCATCCAGCCCTCCCACCTCCTGCTCGAACCCCTGACGGCGGCGGCGGCGGCTGCCGAGGGCGGTGCCGGAGGAACCGTCGTGTATTCGAGAAGCGGCGGGCGGTTAAGCGTGGAAGTTGAGAGGATGGTGCGTGGGTCCCACTTGAAGATGCTGGCGGTGAATGTTTCTGGATCCATGGAATGGAAAGGCAATAATCGGAAAATGGGAAGCGAGGAAGCGAGAGTAGTACTGTTTGGGGTGGAAGTTCCTGTGTAAACACTTAAAAGGGCATTGAAGAGATAGGAGAATGAGGAGAGACGGGGATCATTTATGGATTCCCCAAAATGCCCTCGTGCATGGCCATGATTTCCCGAATTGTGTGGGTCGTTCTTGGAAGTTCAGGGATAGTTAACCAGATGAAACCGGGCAGTCACGAATGAACCGAACTAGCTGTTCGTTGCTCTTTTGTCCCTAATGGTCTGAACCGTAGAGACGCTGCTGCCACAGTCTGTGGCTAATGCCGTTGCGGTCTGCAAGATTTGCCACGTTAACCGTTCTGGGATATGGGCTGGGTTTGACCACTGATTTGACTGTTAATTATTTATTATTCCATTATTTTTGTGCTTCTCCGTTCGAGAGTGTGCGTGTTATTCCATAATTAGCATCGCTTATTCCGTCGTCCGTTCGAGAGTGTGCGTGTTATTCCATAATTAGCATCGCTTATCCGTCGCTCAGCCCAGTAATCTGCCACTTCAGAGAGGTCAACCTTTGCCCAAATTAATCCAACACGATCGCCAATTAAAAAAAAAACAATGAATGAATGAATGTTTCAATTAAGAAGGACATGACTGGGATGAATTGTTCTTTTTTTATGTGATCGGGTGAAGAATTTTAAGGTCTCTTTTATGAATTAAAAAATAAATATGTATGAAATAAATAATTTACTTCGTCTAGTAGTCTAGAAAATTTAACAATCCCGTGAAGGTTACATTACATTTCTTATATGTAACTTTGTCCAAAAAAAGGGTTTCTTATATTACTATTAAATTCATTTTCTCAATATTGAATTTGTTCAGTAAGACTACTAAACAAGACAACTTATACTATTATAAAATAAACTTACAAGAGCATTTTTTTTTCCTTAAGAAACCTTTCAAAGCATCCCTATATCAAGCACTCCGAAAATACAAGAGCGCTTTTATATGTAAGAGATACCGGAGTGCTTTCCAAAAAGCGTTCCTGCATATCAAGGCTTAAAAATTCATATGCTAGAGACATATAAGAGCGCTCAATTGAAGAGCGCTCCCGTAGAGAGACATATCAATATTCATAAGTGCTCCAAAAGATGAGTTTTTCGAAAGATATTTTTTGTAGTAGTGTTATTTGTTACTTTCTTCATCTCATTAATATGATATTTTTAGAGTAGATTTAGCATTTTAGAATACAAGCTACTTTAAGAGATTAAAGCTTCATTAAATATACTTATTCCAATAAAAGATTAAAATTTCATTAAATATATTTACTTTCAGCACTACCATTTCTCTCTATTTAATTTTCATCATCCTTTTTCTCTTTAATGTATTAAATGAATGATATTTTTAAAAGTTTATATTTGTATTTTTTAAAAAATAAATTGTTAAAGTGTATTTAATAAGATTAATTAGCATGCAAAATTTTGTCCCAAAATATTTTGTAATTTGAAATGAAGGGAATATATACTTATAATACATGAGAGAGACACTAATTATACATAATTTAAAAATAAAATAAATAGGAATAAGATGATTTGATATATTCAATAAAGTAATTTGATATACTTTTTTATATGTTACACATATTTTACAAATAAGTTACAATGTTGAATGGTGATTTAGTATAAATTTTATTTTATATTCACATACTTCTTTTAGCTCCTATTATAAAAGACCTCAAATGTATCGATGCTAGACTAGGTGGTAAATGTGGAGAAGAAGGGCGTGATAGTGAAAGACATGAACGGGCCGTCACTCACTCACCATGTTGCTCACAGCAAAGTGAAGTACAAAATGTAGGGATCAGGGAAAAGGGGGGAACCAAGAGGATGGGATAAGAACTCTAAACATAAGTTAATGCACATCACTCATGACCTTAGTGGTCCAGGCAGCGTGTAACCCATTCCTAGCTCTGCACATGTGCTCTAGCAGGCATTCCTCATGATAAGTGTCCATCTCAACTTGACATCGATGCACTGTGCCTGTGTCAACCAAGCACATTGTGCCATCAATACTTTTCCTCATCCAATACACTAAGCCCTTCATCCCACTTGCATACTTCTAGGAAGTGCCTTCCAGGGCACATAGAATTAGAACCAACCACTCCTTGTGCAGCTATCTATCTATGACAATTGATTTGCTTATACATTCACTACAACAAAATTTTACTTTTCTCTCGGACATTTTTCAAGAGAAAAGTAAAGATATCTGAGAGAAAATCCTTTTCTCTCGAAATTTCTCTCAAATGAAAAAGTAAGTATAATTTCGTAGAAAAAATAATTTCTCTCAGAATGTCTCTAGAGACATATGTTCTCTCAGAATTTTCCAAGAGAAACATGTTCTCTCAAAACTATCTGAGAAAACTTCTCTCAATTTAATTTGAGAGAAATTTCTCTCAAAAAATTTGGGGAGAATGTTCTCTCTGAATTATTTTGAGAGAACTTTCTCTTGGATTAGTCTGACAGAAAGTTCTCTCAAAAAATTCAAAAAGAACATGTTTCTCTCAATATAATCTAAGAGAACATCACACATGCCACACATTACATTGGTCAGTTTCTCTCAAAAAAATTTATGAGAAAATCTTTCTTTCAGAACATTTTGAGAGAAATCTATGAGAACCTTACATTATATATTGATATTAAAATTGTTCTATTTTAGCTCCCTTCCCTATGATATTAACATTTCAACATTTCATAACTGTACGTATGCAACAACACCATTTTTTGACAACCAATTTAAATAGATATTTCCATAACTCTTTACAAGTCAACCAAAAATTATAACATATAATAAAAATCCTAAACATCTACTCATCATTAGTATCATCACTAGATTCATCATCTGACCCATCATTACTAGTAGACATCTCACTTTCTTGGGCATTAATTACAGGAATAGTATGACTAATAGAGGCCTTAAGTTGAGCCATCATTTTCTTCAAGAACTTTTCATTTTGTGATAGCTCATCTCTAAATTGTTTTTCTCGAGTGGGGATCAAATATAGAATTTGTAGTACTTATTTTAAGCCAAAAAGTGGATTGTGTTGAAATGAGGTTTGTTTCTTTGCATTTCTATCTAGTTGGTAGGCCCTTCACTCATAATCATTATCTTTTATCTACTTCTTGATTTCCATTTATTAAGAATTCAATTCATCATACTAGCTTCATATTTTCGTTACAGATAAGAGGAATTTCAGGGGAAGAGTCCAAGCAAAGAGATTTAATTAACATAGCCATATGGGTCCCACCACTCCTAGCAATCATTATGCAGTGAAGAAAAATAAACCCAAATGCAATCTCTTAGCTTAATAGCAAAAGAATGGCATAAAAGTTAAAGAATAGTCATAAGCGATAGAATCAAACTTGGTGAAGAAGAAAAGAATACCTTAAATCCAAATGCTATCACACGTCGGTGAAGAAGAGGATGCCCACTTGAAGATACCTACTTGAATCCTTGAGGAAGATGAAGAGATGTTTGTAGAGGAATGGGAGCTGTCGCACATCTAATGGAGTTTGAAGAGAGAAACTAGGGATTGAAATTTTAGAGTGGGTCTTAAAAGGCAACTGTGTGAAAAGTGAACGGGGTTTTTTTTTAAGCTAGGGTATTTTTTTATTTATTGAAAAAAAAATTCTTTTTCTAAAGCTAATAATTTGGTCCAACTCTGATGGGCTAGCCTAAACCTGCCTGAAAAATTTAAGGCAAAGCCAAAAAAATATTAATTCTTTAATGTTCAAGCCTATTTGAGCTAACCTGAGCAGGCTCGAGAAAATTTAAACCAAACTTGATTGTGTTCGATCTTGGCCTGAATACCCAAATAAAAAAAATTAAAAATATTTATATTTTTATTATTTTCAATCAATGAATATCTCAAAAATAATATTTAAAATATATTGTAATATTGATTTTGATATTTTAAGACCCAATTTTTTTTAAAAAAATTTGAGTCCTATAGTATTCAAATTAACCCGAATAAGCTCAAAGAAGTTAGAATCGAGTTTGGATATATAGACTTTTTAAAAGGGATAGAATACTTTAAAATAGATCTGAATAAACCTGCTCGAATTGAGCCCGACCTTAATAAGCCCGCCCTGCCAAAATTACTGCCTCTACTTTTTTTTATTTAATTTCCTTTTACTTTTACTTAATGTTTCATCACTGAGTTAAAAATTAGTGATAGATTTTTGTGACTAAGTTAAAATTTTTTAATTATTTTAATGTAGCTCAAAGGTAAATGGGCTTTTCACTTGTCCAATATATGGTGAGTTCAAATCTGATTGAGTCCTTTTCTTAACTTAAAAAAAATTAATATTTTAATTTATGAGGATTTATTGTAACAAATAAAGCTATAGCATCACATGTATATTGTTATACGTAATAATTTACATATATACATTATAATTATAAACTATTATATTTTATATAACCAATAAAATAAATTTTTAATATTTTAAAAATAAATTTATTTTAGTTTAGTTTTTATAAATAAAAGATATACTCCCTTCATTAAAAAATGCATAACATTTTTTTAGGGGTTTGATATTAAAAAATGTAAGAAATTTTTAGTGTTTTAATATATAATCATTATCTTTTTTACAAAAGTATCCCTAATGAATAAATTACTTCATATTTATTTTAGACTAAAACACTCTATTAAATAGAGGTAAATATGAAAAGATGATGTGAGTTTGAAAACAATAACTATTTTATGAGGGTAAAATTAAATTAAAAATGCCTTACTTTTTTAAGAAGGAAGTACTTTAATGGTAATAAAATTAATTATAATTTGAAAAATAAGAAAACAAATATTTCTTGTAGAAATTTTTGAGAGAAACTATAAGAGTTCTCTCAAAATATTCTGAGAGAAAATTTCTCTCATGTATTTTAAAGATATTTAATTATTTTTCTTAGAATATACTGAGAGAACTATTTCTCTCATATTATTTCAAGAGAAATTTCTCTCAAATATATTCGAAAGAAATATTTCTTTAGGATTTTTTTGAGAGAAAATATTAAGTTTCTCTCAGAATACTTCGAGAGAAAACTTCTCGACAATTTATCCGAGAGCAAAATTATAAATAAAAAATTTTATATTTTATATTTTTATTTATCATTTCTATCAAATATTTCTCTTAGAATTATTCAAGAGAATATGTTCCTGCCACAATGCAGTTATTTTTTCTCAATGTTCTCTTAGATTTTCTCTCAGATGTTCTCTCACTTATGAAACCCAAGAGAAAATCAGAGAGAACATTCATATGAGGGATTTTTCAAGAGAAAATTTGAGAGAAATTCTCACTAC